GGCGAGGTAAAAGCAGCTTAAAGACAACACTTTCCTTTATTTACTCTCATTCTGATCCTTGTTGGATATAGGCAGGTTTTATTTGGCCGAACCTACTTTAGCTGGTCTATAAATCACTGAACAGTTCAGCATCACAATACATTAAAGATCTGCTGCTGTTGTATCAACCTTCCAGACCTCTCAGGTCTTCTGGTTCTGCTCTGCATCCAGAACCAGAACAAAAACATGGAGAAGCAGCGTTCAGCTTTTAAGCACCAAAAATCTGGAACAAACTTCAAGAAAATTGTAAAACAGCTGAAACACTGAGTTTTTTTTAAATCTTGACTAACTGGATGTTTATAGTTGCCTTTGATAACTGGAATATCACTAATTTAATCAAAATTTTATTTTTTCATTACTTTACTTTATTATACCACTGTAATGATGCTTTGTTTGAAGTTTGATGTTATCATGTAAAGGACTTTGAATTGTCTTGGTGCTGAAACGTGTTACTGTTTAAAATAAGAACTGTGGTTCCTCTACCGGGTCTCAAAAGGATGTGTGAAAGCAAAGAGACAAATTCTCTCAAGACATGATATAACTTCTATGTAGCAGTAGTCAGAAGAGTACATAAAGGTCGGTACACATTCTGAAAGAACAGATACATTTGTTCTCCCTCCCAGGGCAGCAGGGACAAAATGATGTCGATCTGTTCTTGTAGTTTTGGTTTGGGAATTCTTGCAGCCTGTTCTTGACACGTCATCTGGACAGATCTTTGTTTCTTGCATGGGATCCAGAAACTAATATACAAATGCTACAGTGAGAGGGACCCATGGGGACTTCCCAAGAGTTCTGCAGCCAAACTCATAAGTAAAAAGTGTTCTGGGCAGAGAAAATGTGATGAAGGTTGTCTTCTGACACAGTGATCCAGGCAAAAACAGCAGAGGAGGAGAGCATTGCAATAAGACAGAGCTAAATAAGCACAGTATGGATGACATTAGAATAAACAGATTCTACAGTGTTAAATAAAAGCGTAAAAAATGTCACAGGGCCACTGAAACATCTCCAAAGGCTGCAGATGAGTAATGGAGGTGTCTGAATATTGTCTCTAGTTTTCACATTGTTATTCTTGTTTTATGGGCCAGAAAGAGGCTCAGCATACAAAGTCTAATTGGCTGTTGTTTTACGTGAAAGCACAGCTTGTGTCGTATCCATCAGAAAACAGGAGGGAGGAAAAAAAGAGCAAATATATTTGTCAACAGAGATGCCCCTGTATTCATTTGACAACCAGAAGGAAGGGAAGGGGACAGACATCACACATGGAACTGCATCAGAAAGGCTGGGATCACAGGGAATCAAAAAGATTTCAATAACCTCATTTTTTGGTCAAGCTGGAAAGAGTGGTTTTGTGATGAGATCAAACTGTAGATTAAGTATATCAGAGGCTCTTCTATAAAGAACATTTCAATTGGTTTCTAATTAGGCTTTGCAGACAGAAATAGAGAACCTGTCTAGGAGGTTCCTGTCTATGAATAAATCCTTTCAGAGCTGACGTTGAGGTCTTGCTGTTCCTGATGCTGCCTCATTTTTGCTCTAACAGCTCATAGACTAAAACCAGCAGAGCTTAGATCAGAAAGCTCTTCATCTATTCTGCATGAGCAGCACAGCAGCAGTTTTACACTAACTACATTCCCATTGGCCATTAAATTGCGCAAACTGAAATTACAGAAATGAATTTACTTAATGGAAACATGCTGATTTTGAAAAAAACAAACAAAAAAAAAAACTCACGTTTGGATCAAAAGTTTTTTCTCAAGGATGAGGTGATTTTTCAGTCGTATTTAAACACTTTTTTCTATTCTTACGAGTATAGAAAAACTATGTCATTTTCAAAATGACATCTGAAAATCTGTCATTTTCAGATGTTGCACAGCTGAAAATGACAGAAGACAACAAGAAGTAGTAGGAGGATGATGGCTTGTTTTTGTTTTAAAGGACAACGTGCAGGTGATTCAACATGTTGAATCCATAGCTCTTCTGTAAAACGTCCAGTTAAAATTGCATACATAGCCCCTCCCAAGTAGGCGGGGCTTGTTGAACCTAAGCCTGAATAAGACGCTGACATCTCCTCTGATTGGCTAATATATAAGCTCCAGCACAATGGCTGAATTATGAATACATTTCATGTAACTGTTTACATCTGTCACTTCCATGATTTTAAATGACTTGTGTAACCAAGCTTATTCACATTTGACTTTAATTTTATCTCATATTCAATAGAAAAAGCTATTGGGATATTTTTTAAGTCAGCAGAATATTGCTCACAATTGTACTGTAAGTTCAGCTCTAGTCACACATACCGGTGCAGACATAATGTCTATCAAACCAGTTCCAACCAAGCTGCAGGTACCTGGTCAACGTACAGCCTTCATAAGAGCCACAGTTCCTACTGGTTCCTAACATTTCATTTCCTACTAGTTTGTGCTGATAGAACTATAAATTTTTACTTGATCAGTACCTATTAGTTTTATGGAAACCCTGCTCAGCTCATGCTGTACACCTTAGCACTGCTGTGAGCAGCGGGGTGCCTATTGAAGCCAGCAGGAGCCTAGCCCATGCTTAGCACACATCTAACCGAGGCTCTGCCTTCATTAACCCCATCTGAGATATCCTTGAACTGTAATGGCTACAAATCCCTTTTAAGCTGACAATACCGTCTACAGTCAGTCATGATCACTGACAGACTGTTGGATGTTTGTGGATAAGCATTTGAGCCGTTTGAAATAATTTGGATTAGATCAATAAATCTATCCAAATCTATAAATCCAGTTTTTGTTGCAGTTCTCCCAGTATAAATGGTTCAGGTGGTTGTTTGCAGAGGACATAAGGGTTTTAATAACTGTCCGCTGGTCAGGCCACTGAATGATGTTTAAATATCATATTTATCATAAATATGTTTTTTTTACTGGTTTTATATAATATGCAAATTTTTAGAGATTTCTTTTGGTTTTAATTTGTTTCATGCATACATATCCAAGTTAAAAGATAAGTGTGTGATATACATCACTCTGTTGTAGTGAATCTATGTTTTTTTTTCTTTCTTTATTTCACTTGCAAAATGAAACTGCTGAATTAAAATGATTTATTATGAATGCATGAAGCTGCATTTGGAATATTTCTGCATCAACCTAAAACACAACCATGCAACATATATTGTCCACATTTTGTTCAATACTAATAAACTGCTAAAAATAAATCAAATGCAGTCCCTTCAAATATGTGTCATTCTTAAAGAATGCTGGCAGTTCTGGTAAATGTGATGCCGATTTTGCTGAAGAAATGATAAACAAGCATAATTCTACTTATAAGTAAGATTTTTTTTTTTTTTACAAAGGAAAAAATAGTTGCTTTTAAAATTAGATATAATATCTGAAGAAAATCACTGTTCCCCCAAAGCAGCACTGCACACTGGCTAAAAACGCCCTTAGCCTTTTACCCTGAACACCAGAAGCAGCAGAGGATTTAAAAAGGAGCATAATGAAGAGAGACACAGTAGAAAACAGCTCACTCCTGTATATTTAGCTAATGGACATCAGTGTGTGCGAGTGTCTTTCTTTTCACGTGTGTGTCCAGCTCGCTGCTCTCAGAGTCCTTCATCTTGGCCCTGGCTTTTATTGACCATATTGGAGGCCATAAATCACTGTGTGTGTGACTGCAAGTTTGTCTGTGTGTGTCTGTACGGCTGAGTGCTTCTCTGGGTGTGAGTAGCTGCACACAGCAATCTCAGGTCAGAGGAGCAACAGAGCGAGCAGTGTGTGCTTGTGTGCGCATGTGTGTGGAAAAGCTGCGACAGGGCAACAGTATCCAATGTGGTCAACAGGCCAAGGGACAAGATGTAGCTGACTGCTTCACACCATTTTCCCACAAAAATGTACGTGCCACTCAGCCACGCAAAACTTCAGGCGAACAAATAACTGCAGGCGCGCGGAGATGCAGCTGGAGATGGAGATGGTGGGCGTTACACTTTTCACTTTATCGGCCCTGCAGCCTACTTTTTAATCTCTCTCCACCTTTCTATCTGTCTTTCCTCAAGGGTGGTGGTGCTTAAGTATAGATGGTGTTGAACTGGATTTGACATTAACAGCCCTCCATTAACATTTCGCACAGAGCTACTGGAGTGAACAATCAAATCAACGCTGGAGCAGACACACTGCAGGCGAGCATCACATGTAACACAAACCGAAACATGCGCAGATACGGCCGTAAACACAGTCATGTGTGACGTGACAGGAAAACAAAGTGTTGACCTTTCCAGTTCCCAAATGTCTGCGAGCAGAAAGGTTTAGCAATGAGTTGGTGTGTTGGGTAGGGCTGCAGTTGATGACTTAAAGACACGTCACTCGCTGCGTTTTCCATTGTCCGTGTAGTTGCTCAATTTGACATTTTGTAGATAAAGTCAGAAATTTCAATAAAACTCTCATTTTTCAGCAAATAGTTTTGGCCCTTATTTCACTAAACAGTATTGGAAAATTGTTGCTGAAGTGAGGAAAACATTAAGGGGTGTAAATACTTTGCTACATTCTTTGGATTCAATGCGGGTCACTCCTGTAACACATCATCCCTCTCACTAACACCCTTTCTCAATGCATCAGGTCACTGGAAATCACATGACTGACAGATCCAGCACTGCACCAATTCATCTGCAAAAGGGAACATTCCTTTTGCATTCCTAAATTATATCTGTACTTTTTCTGTCAGTGAGCGTATTTGAATATTGCAGCCGTTTCCCCATTGGGTATGGAAAAATGTACCGCTTTGATATTTCCCCTCAGAAAGCTAAAAAGTAAGCAGGGTGACAGATAAAACTAACCAAACTCCTTCCTAAACTGACCTCAAATGCATACTGTTGCAAAGTTCACAGAGTTCTTTGAACTCATCTGGATTATATTAGATTAAAAAAATGACCAGACAGATAAAACACAGATGCGTTTCATCTTAAACACCAAGTAAATGTTTCCTACTCACAACTCATGCGCTGGATCTTAATCTTCTGATTCCAAAGGTCTGCCAAAAAAAGAACAACAAAACAGGTGAGATGCAAGCATTTGTATGTATACACTGTTTGTGTGAATAAATAAATTAAGTGCCTTTTTTATACAGGCTTTTGAAGTGGGCACCCCTGCAGCTTGGAAAAAGAAGAGAGATAAATTCTCAGCAGCATATTTTTCAAAGTTTTTCTTCTGCTTCGCTCTCCTCCTCCCTTGAGATGGGAGCTTTTGTATCACCTCTCACAAAGCCTTCCAGAGTGTTCTCTCTGAGAATCGTGCAGATAAAGGCTCAGAGGGAGTTTAAGCTGGTCACTCTTTATGGTTCAACAGTGAAAAAGTGGCAGATAGTAGTGGAAGGATGGGGTGTGTGACAGATAGGAAACCATCGGCACAAATCACACAAAAACATGACGGCTGTGGGAAAGATTATTTTCTTGTTCAGAGTAAGCCCAAAAACATTCATATGCCTGGAAAATTTGGATTTAACATAATTTTAATTCAAGGAATAAGTGGATTTTTTTGTTTGTCTTTTTTAAACACGCCATCTCTCAAAAAACACTAAAAATGTTAGAGTAAACATGTTCAAAATAAGAAAATTGCCTTACATATATATACATATACATCCAAGGTGAGGTGTTTGTATATATATAAGAGATGTGCCAGTCAGGTTTTTTCCTGCCGATTCCGATTCCGATCACTCATGAGGGAGGGCCGATCGCCGATCACCGATACCGATCACATAATTATTATTATTTTTACTTATCATAAACACTACCGGTTACATTATGTGGAAAAAGGAACCATGAATTCACCTTAATTTAGACAAAAACTTGTTTTTAATAACTTTTTTCAAGAAAAAAAATCAAAACAGGCATTGTGCAAATTGTACTGCTATCGGTAATACTATCTTTAACAGACTGGCTCTGAAGAGGTTAAATAACGCAGAGCCAAAATAAAACCTCTCAACATTGCCAAAAAATTCAAGTATAAAACTTAACATTCAAAGGCAAAAACAGGATCCATTACAATAAACAATCCAGAGTTACTGAATGAAAACTTCCTGTTAGCATGGCGGCTAGCTGATTACTGCTAGTTCTGAGTGGCTTTCTGACTGAGCGGAGTAATTATGCAGATCAGGGAGGAGATCGATTATTTTTTTCAGAGATTATCTGTCTCATGTTAGGACAGCGAAAGTTTTAATACGTATGTAAAATGTATTTTTTTAAGTTAGATGCTGCAGCTTTAAGCAGAGGTTCAGTGTGAGAGTCACTACCAGGTGGAGCAGAAGCGAAGTTCCGTCTGTCAGATATTACTAGCGTAGCAGCGGTTCAACAGCGAGAGCAGAACCAGCGTCTTACATCGCAGCTCGATGACTTAAATAATTTTGTGGGTTATTTGTTTAGTTTTCTGACCGTCATGCTAATCCGGGTGAGTGTTTGTAGCTGTGCGCTGCTTTACCTGCTATCTGATCCTCCGTATGTCTTTTTTACTGCAGTGAGCCTCGATGTAGCCAAACTCCGTCAAGTATCTCATTGTTTTTATGCCATATTAGCTTCGTTGTGTTGATGCATTTTGACCTGCTTTAATTTCCCGCAGCAACACGCAGCAACCTTCCCCATTCACTCAGTGCGTTATAGTTCCACATCGCTTAGGATTTGTTGCTTTGCGCAGTGTGAAGGAAAAAGGAGACCAGCTGCACAGGCAGGCTGCGAAATGAGAAGCAGGTGATCGGTTTGTGTGATCGGCAACAATAGACCGTGATCGGCGATCACCGATCATACACTTTTTCATGGAAATCGGCCGATTATGATCGGTGGCCGATCGATGTATTTTATCCTAAAGATCCACTGATCATTCCCACCTTCAGAGCTTTTACAGCCTCTCTCTCTCTCTCTCTCTCTCTCTCTCTCTCTCTCTCTCTCTCTTTTCAGCTGCATAGAAGGTAGAGGAGAAACAGAACAACAGTGCAATCAGTTGAGCAAAACCTCTTCAGCAGCTTAAAATGTGAATATACCCACATTTTTCTTCTTTGGGTAAAAAGGTAGCACTTTCCTTCACTGTTCCTTTGTCCAGGACTCCTGTCAAGCCTTCCCTTTAGATCCTTCCTCACTTACAAAAATAGAAATTATCAGACTCCAGAGAGATAAAATATGAATCCGCTTTAATTATAAATGTGCGTGGGCTTTCCTGGGATTGGCGAGAAGGTTGTGCTGTTCTGCTAAGAAGGGACTGCTTCACTGCGCTGGAAATTACACAGGTCTGGAAAAAAAAAAAGGAAGCAGCGGCACAGCGAAGTGGTAGTTATTTATTGATTAGTCGAGTGCAGCAAATGCCCTCTTTAAAAGAATAGTACTCTGGGATGCATGTGGAGGGACAGTGAGTGAAAAATAAAGAACTATGAGCTATAGGGGAATAAAAAAAATATTTCATAGCTGTGCTGAACACCTTGTTTCTTCTTGGCTGCTTTTTGTCTCCCTGAGGAAGAATAACATAGAGAGATGCTGTCTTTGACAAAAAGCTCACTGGCCTTGAAATGTTATTTTAGGACCTCTGCTGTAGAGATGAAAATGTGCTCTTAATGAATCAGGAGAAACCTCTGTTCAGTTAGTCAACACACCTGTGCTTTACCTGTTAACACTGTTAGTTTATCACAACAAAAACTGATTGTTGCATTTCTTTTGCACATTGCATTATCCCTATATTATGACTTTATTAGAAAATATATCATGCATCTTTATGGTCATGAAGAGTTGTACAGTCATTTTACCACAATTCCAAGTGCTGAGAGGAGTTATCAAATGACTATTATAAAAACTTCTTAAGACAAAATCTCTCACTCGATAATTTCCCTATTAATTATTTAGTCATGTTTCATGGGGGCCAGTTGTTGAAGTCATTTCTATTGTTAATACATGTGATGAAATTGTCCACAAATGGAAAGAGAATCAAAGACAGAGGCCCAGAAGAATGACTTCAATCAAACAAAAGATTAACTAATAATCTAACTAATAATAAACTAATAATAATTTCTTAACACGTAGGATGTTAGCAATTACCTTCCAGACCAATGCATTTCTGATTTTTGAAACTGCATCACTCTTCTACATAGTTTATCTTTACTTTTACAGTAACAAAAGACTTTAGTATGTCGATGTGACATAACTGCCTTACATCACATTGACACAAGACAGATGAATTTGTTTTCCAGCTTAGGGTGGAAAACAAATTAAACCAGTGTCAACGAATAGCCAAACATTGTAACTTCAGAAACTTTTTAGTCATCTGACCAGAACTGCCATGATGTTCTGTAGCAAGGCATCCAGACATGACTCAGGGAAATTTCATTGCCATTAAGCAGAAATAGAAAGTGCATGTCCTACAGATCCAGATCTCTGCCTTTTAGTTCATAACAGGTTGTCCTTCCAGTCAACGGTCTCAAACACGATTTCCAATTAAATCCTAACAAGACACCCAATCCCAGTTCTGGTCACTGCTGTGAGTCGGTAACACGTGGAATTTCTGTAAGCTAGGCTAAGTTGCCACACATCTTATGGCTTCATGTAACCCAATTACTTTTTGAGAACATTGAATATAGAGCAGCTGATATACCTTGTGTTTAAATATTTCTTATTTTTTTCAACCTACAAGCAAGAAAAGGCCAATTAAATGCACCTGCACAGACTTAGCATTGCCCAATAAACCATTTTTAAGGTGGTTGGACAAGAGAACAGCAAAGCATTAAAACACAGGTGCTACTAGCGGCATTAAAAACAACCAAGCTGTCCTCTCCATTTTCTTTCCCTCCCATCTCGCCCCTGCTCATTTCTTACACATTACGTTGTCCTCCCTCCACTTCCTCATCCCTGTAAGCAGTGCAGTGACCTGAACGATACAGTGGTGATTACCTCTGCAGTTCGATGCTGAGGTCTCATTTCCGAAGCTCCATAAGCATTCCCGGAGGCACAGCTCTGCGCTGATTGATGCGTTATAAAAACTCGTGTTACAGTTGTGAAGTTTTCTGTGAAAACAAGCAGGGTCAGGATTTTCCATCTGCTTGGTTCCCCTGCATGTGTTCTGCATTTGTATGGTTGCAGTCAAGGTTAAGGCTTTCTAATAAGAGCAGTTGTCAAGTATAGTGGCTTGAAATTTAAAATTACAGAATTTTGGGTTTCAAAAGTGTTATGTCTCGACTTTTCCTTACAAATGCTAACATGTCAGCCACAGGGGAAAACACAACCCCAACATAGGTCGATGCAGTTTAGCACTCTATAGTCTGGCATATTCAGGAGAGTCTTTCCATCTTATGTTACTGTCACTGGTCCAGCAGGGTTCAACACAAACACCTAACATGCAGTCATGCTAGTGCAATAACAAATATAGCACTCTAGCATGTAATATTCCAGGAGAGGTTAGTGCTACATGCACACTATTCCTTTATTAGATTGAAATGTATTCGGATTAATTAATCCAAATGAATACTTTGTGGGCACAAAGTTACTTAGTCCAATCATAATGAATGTTTCTATGCACCTATTTTATTCTCAATAGAAGTGCTGACATTCGCAGAGTTGTAGAAATTCCCTAAATTTCCCTAAAAGCACACAGAAGACATTGTACCTCTGTCTGCGCTGAATAATAGAAACAAACAAACAAACACAGTAATGTGTTGGTTCTGTCTCTGCAGAGCATGCAGAATGGACCCATGCCAGGGTCTGATAACAGTTGAGATGTTACTGCACTCCGTAATAAAACTTCAGGCTAAGCAACAGGTGCTCTTGGTCTTCCTGCAGTACAGAAGGAGAGACCACAGACAGGCTTTGCTTCTCCAACAAAGCGTCTACCCACTGAAGACAGAAGTACGTCACATTGACACAAGGCAGTTTACATAAACCTCAGTCAGAATATTCTGATCAGGGCATTTACACAATTCTGATTAGGACTACAGAGTACATGGCAGATCAGACCAGTTTGATCTGCCATGTACTCTGTAGTCCTAATCAGAATTGTAAGCATGCT